CTCAGCTCTCACCTCACTGAGTCCCAGTCCTGATCTCTGAGTATCTCCTGGTCCTGTGGACCCCACCCCAGACCCCTGTCCCTGCAGGCTCCCAGCTCCCCTCAGCCTCCTCTCCCTTTCCCGCCACCGTGTCTCCATCTGCTGGCTCCTCGCCTGCCCCCAGCCTCTGGCAGCAGCCAGGGCATCTGGATCTGCTTAACTCTACAGCCTGAGCCTGCACCCTAGCCCCATCCAGCCTCATAGGCTTGAGACCAACAAGACTCCAGAGTCGGCCCAGATGAGTGGCCCAAGGAGCCAGAGCAGGAGGCCAGGCAGGCCCAGGCCAGAAAAGGCTTGTCAGCTAGAGCAGGGCTAGGCTCCATGGCAGGAGGACGGGGTGGGCTTACACCCACCGCGACGGCTCCGGGGTGAGGAGGGCTGCCTCAGGTCAGTTAGAGGCAGTGATCAGCCGTGGGCCAGGTGGATGCCAGGATTCCTAACAGCTGGATTGGAGGAGTTAATAGGAATGACTGAGCCGGTGCTGGCACTTGGTGCCAGGGGTGGGCGCCAAGGGTGGTGCGGGGGGGTGGTGCTGGCACAGTCTGTTGCTTCCAGCTTTTGTTCTGGGCCCTAAGCCCAGGACTGAGATGGAGAGTGAGGGTGTGTGTGTGCTTGTGTGCGCACTGCACTGTGTGTGTGTGTGCGTGTGCGTGTGTGTGTGTGTGTGTGTGTCGCACACGCTCACGCGCACACCTTAGGGCATATGCACAGCACAGGGGTGTGTAGTGGAAATGGGGATCTTAGATCCGATCCCCTAGTGATTTTTTTAAAAATATATTTTATTGATTTTTTATAGAGAGGAATAGAGAGTTAGAAACATCCATCAGCTGCTTCCTGCACACTCCCTACCGGGGATGTGCCCGCAACCAAGGTACATGCCCTTGACCGGAATCGAACCTGGGACCCTTCAGTCCGCAGGCCAACACTCTATCCACTGAGCCAAACCGGTTAGGGCCCCCAGTGATTTCTGATATTCTTACCCCATTTGGTACCTCAGTTTTCTCCCTAGAAAACCACAGTTTAGAAGAAGAAGAAGAAGCTGAAATTAGCCTCCCATCTTGGGGGTAGGGAATTGCTGAAACTGCTTCTCTCCCCACAGATGAGCAGCAGCTGTTCAGGGCTGAGCAGGGTCTTGGTGGCTGTGGCTGCAGCCCTAGTGTCTGCCTCTTCCTCCTGTCCCCAGGCCTGGGGCCCCCCAGGTGAGAACCCTGCTGCATGAACCTAACTGATTTATGGCTTGCCACCCTCATTGTGGCCCCCACCCCAAATCTGCTCTGTGACCCCCAAACTCTTGACATTCAACCTGGCGACATCCCCTTTCTAACCTGTCCTCGGACCTCTGCCTCCACATTAACATGATACTCTGACCCAATGCCTCTACCCAGGGCTTAAAAGTCTACTCCTTACCCCTTCACTCTCATAAAGTGGGGTGTTTGGGGAGAGGGAAAGGAAGAGCCTCTCCTCAGAAGTGCCCTCCACAGGGGTCCAATATGGACAGCCTGGAAGGTCCATGACGCTGTGTTGCCCGGGAGTGACTGCTGGGTAAGTGCCCTCCTGCCTGTTGGGGCGACACTCATGACCCTTTCTTGACCCTGCCCAGTCCTCATGCCCCTCCCATCTTTGCCCCGTGTCTGTAATTGTCACCTCTGTACCTGTCCTAATCTTCAAACCATCCTTATTCATCAGACAATTTCAACCAACATGTATTGAGCACTCGCTAAGTGCCTGGTCTATTCTAGTTCCTGTGATACAGCGGTGCACAAGCCAGGCAAGACGTCAGCCCTCATAGAGCTTACATCCTAGTGGGGCAGTCAGACCATAAGCAAATAAGAGTCTTGCCAGCTAGCAATACCTGCTGGGCAGAAAATTAAAAGAGAGTGCCCTGGAGGAGGATAACTGAGTGGTTCCTTTTTATTGGTAGTCAGGAAAGGCCTCTCTGAAGAAGCAAGATTGAAGCTGATTTGTCAGGAAAGAGGCAGCCAGGCACAGGTTGAGGTAGAAGCATTTCTGTCAAAGGCCAGTGCAAATGCCCTGAGGTGGGAATGAGCTCAACACTTTTTTCTTTTAACTTTAGAGAGAGGAAGGGAGAGGGACAGAGAGATAGAAACATTAATGATGAGAGAGAATCATTGATCGGTTGCCTCCTGCATGCCCCCACACTGGGGTGGAGCCCGCAACCTGGACCCTGACCAGGAATCGAACCGTGACCTCCTGATTCATGGGTTGACGCTCAATCACTGAGCCACACCAGCTGGGCAAGCTCAACACTCTTAAACAGAAAAAAGACTAACTGGACAGGATGGGAGTACAGTAGGTGAGGGGGTGGAAGGAGGAGCTGAAGAAGGAATGGAAGGCAAGGGCTAAATTACCAGAGGCTTTGAGAATCAGCAAAAGGACTTTGGGTTTTTTCTGTGTGTGTTTTTTTTAAATATATTTTATTGATTTTTTACAGAGAGGAAGGGACAGAGAAAGTTAGAAACATCGATGAGAGAGAAACATCGATCAGCTGCCTCCTGCACATCCCCCACTGGGGAAGTGCCCGCAACCCAGGTACATGCCCTTGACTGGAATCGAACTTGGGACCTTTCAGTCCGCAGGCCGACACTCTATCCACTGAGCCAAACCGTTTCGGCAGGAGTTTGGGTTTTAATTCAAGTGAGTGAGAGGACAATGGAGAGCTGTGGCATGGTCCGACTTACACTTTAACCCTTTCCTCTGTCTGTCATCATCACCTTGTCTCACCCGCAGGACCCCCGTGTCCTGGTTTCGGGACGGGGAGACAAGGCTGCTCCAGGGACCTGATTCTGGGCTAGGGCATGAACTGGTGCTAGCCCGGGCAGACAGCACTGACGAAGGGACCTACACCTGCCGGACCCTGGATGGTGCACTTGGGGGCACAGTGACCCTGCAGCTGGGCTGTGAGTTGGGGAGGGAGTATTGGGTGGCGGTGATGAGACGGGCTCCTGAGGGAATCAAGGTCCTGAGTAAGCCCTCTGAGATGGGAGGTTGGGGACTTCTCCGTCTCCAGCTGCACCCTCTGCCTCTAGACCCCCCGGCTCGGCCTGTTGTCTCCTGCCGAGCAGCTGACTATGAGAACTTCTCCTGCACTTGGAGTCCCGGCCAGGTCAGCGGTTTACCCACCCGCTACCTTACTTCCTACAGGTGTGTGCGTGATGGGGCGTGTAGGTCTATACATTTGAGCGTGCCAGCACAGCGTGGGTCTGGGAGGCTGGGAGGGAGGTCCCGAGGAAGGCCTTAGGAAGAGGGAGGACCCTCTTTTCCTGCCTGACCTCAGATGGCCCCTCCCTGCCAGGAAGAAGACAGTGCCAGGAGCTGATGGCCAGAGGTAGGACATGAGGGAGAGGCTGGGGGCTACAGCTGGATCCCACAATGAGCATTTCCAAAGCCCAAGACCACTTCCTCTCTCCTAGGACAAGTCCATCTACAGGGCCCTGGCTGTGCCCACAGGACCCCCCAGGGGCTGCCCGCTGTGTGGTCCACGGGGCAGAGTTCTGGAGCCAGTACCGAATCAATGTGACTGAGGTGAACCCCCTGGGAGCCAGCACACGCCTGCTGGATGTGAGCTTGCAGAGCATCTGTGAGTACCCAGCCCTAGAGTCCCCAGATCCCAACCCAGAGACTCCAACAGACTCCAGAGTACAGCTATCCCAACGCAGAACCCCCCAGAGCGCCCAGACCATTCCCTCCCAACATAGACCCCTGTTTCAGCACACAGATGGCCCCGGTGGAGACCAAGAAGCCAAAGAGATAAGCAGGGTTTGCCTTCTCTGAGGCCCAAGCTCCTGCTCTGCACCCGGGAGGACACGGGTAGAGGGCCCCAGCCCCACCCCTGCCCACTCTATGTGGACCCATCCAGGTGTGGGAATTGCTCGCCACTCCCCACTCCCCACTCCCCACTCCCCACTCTCCTCGAGTCCTTCCTAGCTGCCTAGCCCCTGAGCTGTCTCTCTGCTTCTGAGCCATGTCTCAAGTCCTCCCTGTCCATTGGAAGCCATTACTGGCCCCTCCTTCCTCTTGATCTGTACATGGGCTGGGGCACTAAAGCTCTGGCTGGAATTTGGGCTAACTCATCTTCTTCCTTGTTGGAAAGCAGGGTTACTTTTTAATCCACCCAACAGCCCTAGCTGTTTTGGCTCTGTAGTTAGAGTGTCGGCCTTTGGACTGAAGGGTTGTGGGTTCGATTCTGGTCAAGGGTACGTACCTTGGTTGCAGACTCAATCCTTGGCCCAGTCAGGGAATGTGCAACAGACAACCAATCGATGTGTCTCTCTCACATCAATGTTTTTTCTCTCTCTCTCTCTACCTCTCCCTTCCACTCTCTCTAAGTCAATGGAAAAATATCCTCGGGTGAGGATTAACAAAAAACAAAACAAAAAAAACAACAAAAACAAACCAAAAAAAACCCCCCACTCAACAAAGCTTTCAAAACTTGTCTCCCAATCTCAGCTCATTTTATAATAAGGATAACAGATAGGTCCTGAGCCTAAAGGATGATCAAGCTTAAGATTTCCCCAACCTCTTGGAAGGGCCTCCTTCAGGTACCTTTAGGCACACACCCACCTTCCCTTGGGAGGTGGTGGGTAAGGGATGGGTACCTGTCACATGCCCTGACTTTGTGTCTCCACTACCCTCAGTGCGTCCTGACCCACCCCAGGGGCTGCGGGTAGAGTCAGTACCTGGTTACCCCCGCCGCCTGCGTGCCAGCTGGACATACCCTGCCTCCTGGCCCCGCCAGCCCCACTTCCTGCTCAAGTTCCGGCTGCAGTACCGTCCAGTGCAGCATCCCGCCTGGTCCATGGTGAGGCCTGGAGTGTGTGCCAGGGCTGTGGGTCCTGTCTCTGGTTTCATGTTTCTGGTGTTCTTTCATGTTTCATGGTGTTCTGGCACTGGCAGGTCACTGGAGCCTGCTGCCTCCCCATGGAGAGGGCTTCCCATGGGCCAGGCTCTGTGCTGGGTGCTGGGGTTGCAGCAGGGAGCAATAAACCAAGCCTCTGTCCTGTGGGATGTAACTCTAATGTAAGCCTATCTGTGGGAAGGCAGCAGAAACTTTTTAAAAATAACTTTTCTAGGAAAAGAAGTGACGTGCTCACTTCGGCAGCACATATACTAAAATTGGAAGTGTCTTTTATCCAGAAGCACATCCTCATATGCCCAGATACAAAACACTCATATTCCCAGATAAAGATAGTCGTGAATTCCCACCTCGGGAGATGTCAGAGGTTGGCCGCATCACGTCTGGGGAGTGGCTGCCTCGGATAATAACCAATATTTACTGAGCGCTGTCTGCCCACCAGGCACCAAGCTACACATTTGCAGATGCATTATTTCACTTGGGTGTTTTCATCTCTATTTTACAAATGAAGAAATGGAGGTATAGAGAGGCTCAAGGTTACCCAGGAAGATTTGAACCCAGGCAGCCTGCCAGCTCAGCCTGTCTATATAAACACTACGTAGTTTTGTCTTCCAAACACTGTGTGTAGACCTGACACCACCAGCCGCTCTACTGAGGCCCAGATGGCTCTACCAGGCTGACGGACAGGACAGGGAGGAAGGGGTACTCTTTGCAGACTGGGGCCCGGGGCCAGGGAGGCTCGGTGTTTACAATCTGGATAACTCGGTGATGAACCATCTTCACCGCCAGGTGGAGCCGGCTGGATTGGAGGAGGTGATCACAGATGCTGTGGCTGGGCTGCCCCATGCTGTCCGGGTCAGTGCCCGGGACTTTCTGGACGCTGGCACCTGGAGCGCCTGGAGCCCTGAGGCCTGGGGGACTCCGAGCACTGGTGAGAGACGGAACCAAGGAATGGACTCTGTCCCTCAGCTGAACAGGTTGGCACGAACAGGGCTGCGTGGCACATGCCCCGCTCATGTGGGCATGGCAGTCGGCTGTTCTAGGCTTCAGCCTCGGATGCCTGCAGCCTTGTTCTAGCTTAAGCCCTGCCCCTCAGCCTCCACCCCTGTTACATCTCCATAAATTGACTCTGGCCTTTCAGGCTCCACTTCCTAGGTGCCCCTGTGTCCAAGCCAGGCCCTGGCTTCTACTGGCAGGCCCTGGCCTCTGCTTCTATCCTGTGTGGACAATTCTCCTCAGGTCTTGCCTTTCTTCAGGGCCCCTGCCGAAGGAGATACCAGCTGGGGGTCAGCCATATATGGAGAAGGAGCCCCAAGCAGACAGCCCTGCTCCCCCAAGGCCCTCCCTCCTGCCAGACCTACAGCCACTTGGTGAGCTGGGGTAGAGGGGCAAAGGTGGTAGAGGATGGGAAAGTTCCAGAGAGAAGGGGGCACTGAGTTTTGTCAGGCTCACTCTCATATGTGACCTCCCACCCCACCCCACCCCAGTCCACAGGGACCCCCTGGAGCAGGTGGCTGTCCTAGCATCTTTGGGAATCTTCTCGTTCCTGGGCCTGGCAGCTGGGGCCCTGGCACTGGGGCTCTGGTAAGTGACTGTCATTGGTGCCTTAGCCTCTGATCCCACACAGATGCTCTGATACCCACAGACCATCCTCTTTCCCACCCATCATGACTTCCCACTGAACATGATTCTGGAACTACTTTTCTTTCTTCCCCTCAACTTCATGATTCTCACTGATTCCTCTCCTAACCCTTTCCTAATAAACGCTTTTGGAGGAGACTGAGATGCCCCACATTGTCAGGAAAACAGCTGCCTTTTTATGCTCCAGGTTGAGGCTGAGACCAGATGGGAAAGATGGACCCCAGAAGCCTGGTTTCTTGGCCCCGATGATTCCAGTGGACAAGCTTCCAGGTGAGTAGGACCTCCAGGAGGTTTGGCCTTGGAGATGTGTGCCCTCATTGTAGGTGTCTGGATTAAGAGCCAGAGGCCCATCATCATAAGGGTATTGGGAATCATAGTTGGGTCTCCTCATTCTTATGATGTCTGGGCTCAGGGACAGACCTGTCATTCTTGAGTCCCTGGGCTCAGAGTTGGATCCCTTTCCTCTCTTGCAGGGTATTGGGCTCCTAGATTGACTCCATCCCCACTTTCAGTGTCCTAGGCTCAGGGCTGGATATCTATCTTTACTCTTGGGATAACTTGGATCAGACCTGGGTCCTTCCTTCTTTTATTCTTTTTTTTTTTAACTGCTTTTTATTTATATTTATTTTTTAATTTTCTTGCATGTACCCTGACCGGGGAATTAAATCCGCAACCTGGGTGTATTGGAATGATGCTCTAATCAACTGACCCACCTGGCCAGGGCTTCTCCCTTATTCTTTTTTAAAAAAATATATTTTATTGATTTAAAAAAATATTTTATTGATTTTTACAGAGAGAAAGGGAGAGGGATAGAGAGTTAGAAACATCGATGAGGGAGAAACATTGATCAGCTGCCTCCTGCACTACCATAGATGGAGCCTGCATGTGTCCTGACTGGAAACTGACATAAATTCAAAGTAAACATCATTACATAAAAGGGTACGGTCTTTTTTTTTTTTTTTAGTTTTATTCTTTTCAAACGGGCCAGGCCCGGCCCGCGGGCCATAGTTTGCCCACGGCTGCTCTATATGCTTCCAACTATATGACATTCTAGAAAAGGCAAAACTATGAAGATAGTAAAAGATTAGTGGTTACCAGGGGTTTGGGGAAGAGAAAGATGAATAGGAGAAGCACAGAGGATTTTTCAGGCAGTGAAACTACTCTGCATGATATATTCATATTTTTATAGCAAAGGTGGAGATTTATTGAAGAACAAGTACAGACTCCCAAGTAGGGAGGGGGAAAAGGGTCCCCCCTTATTCTTGATGTGCCTGCACCAGAGCTAGGTCCTCTCCCTCATTTTTAGGGTGCTGGAGCTCATTCAGAGCTGGGTTCCCCTATTCATTCTTGGAATGTTAAACTCAGAGCTGGGTCTCCTTCCTCATACTCAGAGTGTCCGGGGCAAAATCTAGTCCTATTATCTCCATTGATTTGCCCTTTCCTTTTTCTAGGAGCCCCAAACCTATAGAGAACCCAGGAAGACTTCAGCTAATTCCATCTATAACTCTGTCTTGCTGGTTTGGATGGACGGACAGATAGGACCCAGGCAGGACAGTGGATCCTCATGAGGGGAGGAGTCTCAGCTGAAGTTTTGTTTGGAGCCCGTTTCTATGAGACTCTCTGTTCCAACTTGCCAGAGGAAAGGTACCTGGACCTCTGATTTTATTCCAGAGCTAGAGGTCCACCAGTGGAATGTTTATAGATGTGTATATCTGTGTCCATATGTGCCCATGTGTATGTGAGGCAGGGAACATGTGTTCTCTGCATGTATGTATGTAGATATCTGGGGAGTGTGTGTGGGTCCTTGGCTGTTAGCCTTGCCCCTGGTGGGGGTTGTGAAGGTGTGAATAAAGAGAATGAGGAGGTTCTTTGTTTATTGACATGTCTCCCAGCTTCAGATCCAGGGCTCACGGGAGAAAACATAGAACTTGGAGACCACAACCAGAGATTATTGTTCAATACAGCTTTATTATTTTGGCTATTGGGGGGCCTGGCCCATTTTCCCTATTAGGTCAACATTCAGGTTGGGCAGAGACCCCTGGAACCTCCTTCCTTGGCGCTCAAACCATCGAGCCAGGCTGCGGTTCTGGGGGTGGATGCAGACACTGCGTCGAGGCAGGTGAAGACTGGGAAAGGAAAGGTCCAAAGCCATGGTCATAGTTGGCAGATTAGGTTAGGGTCCAGGGGTTAGGGGCGGAGGCCAGATGACAACCTGAGTTGGCATCAGAATTAGCAGTTGGGGCTGGGGTTGGGATTGGGACTGGGGTCCGAGTCAGGGATCAGTATCAAGGGCAGGGTCAGAGCTCACACAAAAGCCTGGAGGTGGGATTGGGACTGGGGTCCGAGTCAGGGATCAGTATCAAGGGCAGGGTCAGAGCTCACACAAAAGCCTGGAGGTGGCAGTCTCCATTAGCCTCCTGCAGTTCCACCCGGGTGACCTTCCTCAGTAGCTTTCTTGACAGTGGCTGTCGGTAGAGCTGGGTACAGCAGGTAGTGCTGGATGGCAGTAGCACTGCTAGGGAATAATGGGGCCACATGTTCACAGGGCTCCTGACCGAAAACCCCTCAATCAGACAGCTGGAAGCTGGACTTCCTGGGCCCCTTTTCCCTCCATCCCATTCACCCAGATCCCTGGCCTTCTAAACTCCCAAGCACTGACCTGCTCCCGAGTCTGGGATCAGAAGCAACAGTAGCAGCAGGAGGCTGACGGTGGGTGAGGGCTCCTTCATGCTGCGCAGCCTGGATACTTCTCTCTCTCTCTCCTCCTTCTCCCCTATCTTTTATCTGGATACCTTTAACCTGGGGCACCAGGTGAGTCAGATGCAGATGAAGATGGATTTCTCATCCGGTGACACTCCTGGGCTCTGGTTGCCACAGACCCCTATGCCAGAACCCCCTTCCTCTTTCAGGAAAGCCTTTTCCCATGGGCTCCTAAGCCCTGGGCAGAGAAGCTGGGGAGAGGGACAGTGCATGATGTGGGGCCTGAAGGTACAGTGACTGAACAAGAGCAGCCAAGAATCCTCAGTGGCATCCAATGATGGACATTCACACTCATATACCCATAGCTACACATTCACAGTCACACCTCACTCGATCAACCTCACATGGTCAGACAACCACAGACAGAATTATGCAGCCCCAATTACACTCCAAATCCCACTACCACACAGCTGTTTTCACAATACGCCAGTCAGACTAGTACGCACAAATTCCGATGGGGGTGTTGTGGGTAGGGTGGAGCAGAGGGCAAGCCAGCACAATTTGCCTTCATTTTCCCCTCCCCACTTCCCATCCTAGCCTGCTCATCTTATCAGGAGAAATGGATGGAAACGGGTCCCTCAGCTGGCATGTCTTGGCTGTGGCCAGTCACATTCAGAGAAGCTGGGGAAAGGCCCTTTTTGGTGGTATTTGGGGTGCCTTGGAGATGCTGAGGTGGAAGCTGCTTTCCCTGGCAAGATGAGACAGGAAGGAAGGGGTTGGGTGGGTGAGGGCAGATGAGGGAAGATAAAAGTTCTTTGGTGCCAGGTTGCTGCTAAGGTAAAGAAAAACACCAAGAAATCTTATCTTTCTGTTTTTGCCTAGTCCTGTCCCAGAAATGCCAGCTTCTTGTCAAAAGGGGCCTGGCCTGGGGTTTCCATACTCAGTCCCTCCTTGGCTTACGGAGACATCAGACTCGAGAGCTCAATTACTTCTCTTTTGTCCTGTTCAAATTCTAGCTTCTCTTCACTGTGGGCCTGGAAAACCGTTCCCTTCCCCCACCCAGGCTCAGTAATACCCATGAACACGTAGGCCTTCTGCATCCCATCTTCTTGCTAATGCCCCAAGCTCCCATCTACTTCCTGTCCCTTCTCTCCTAATCCCATACCCAGCCCTCACTCCCTGCTTCCCCTTACCCCTCAGAGAAACACCCTTCTCCTCCTCCTCCTGTCCTTTCCGGGAAGCTGAGAACTGCCTAGGCCCTAGGGTGTTTGGTGCCCCTGGCAACTTGAAGAATTTCCTACACCAGGTCTGGGGATTTCAATCCTCAAGTTCTGCTCAGTATTTTAAATATAAACTGAGTCATAACCCAGTAATCAAGTCCTTATCTAGTTGTTGCAGGAGTGTCTGGAGCATTTCCGCTGTTTTAGCCTGCTATGGGGCAAGCCTTCTCTTGGCCTAGGGCCTCACACCTGTGCTGGGCATCTCGTTCTGCTGCAGCAATCAGGAGGGACCGCCGGCTCCAAGGGCAGAAACTAGTCCCCCTCTCAGGCTGAACAACTGGAGCTTTGCCCTCCTGTCCAGGGTGGGACTTGAAGGCCCTTCTGGGGAATTTGCCTTGTGGATACTCAGGAATTCTGACCGTTTCCTGGTGAGGTATAGGCCCAGGGCTAGACAGGGTACTCCCCTTTGGATAGGGTTCTTGATGTAGACCTTGTGATAAAATGGCTCAAGACCCGGGGTCCATTTCTGAAGGTAGACACAACCCAGAGACATCTTGAACTTCTAGTGCCAGAGGCCTTAGGGGCTCTCTCCACCCTGCTGCCTGGACTTGTGACCCAGAGCTTGGGTGCAGTGACTGAGGTGCCATCGTCTTGTCACAGATCTGCGTCAGCTGTCTGTGGTCTTGCCTGGACCTGTCAGTCCAAAGACCTGAGAAGGCAAGAGATGAATTCTTCCAGGCACGTACCCATCTCTTCCCTTCGGCTTCTCCATAGATAGGGCCAAGTCTCAGCCACAACCTGCTGTGGCAGGGGCAGCCCCAGGCTGAAAGTTAGCTTTTGCCCCCAACCCACAAACTGGGCTGTCTCTTTAACTTAATCCTTTAGTGCCCTTTCTGGTGCGGCGGCCAGTCCCTAACTGATGGGGGCGTTGGCTACTGGAGTCCCTGACCCTCAGCACTTTAGGAGATAGTGGGTCAACTGGGTGACAGAACAGTGGCCCTTAGGTTCTCCTAAGGAGGAGTAAGGACTTCTAGGTGGGGTGATGCCAAGTGTCTTTAAACTTGGGACCAGACTGGAGGAGCTGGAAGGTGTGGTGTTCATTATAGGGAAAGCCCTCCAACAGTCCTAAGTCTCTTCTTCCCGATGGCGGGCTGAGGGAGGCAGCTTCTAGGACTCACAGCCTGATCCACAACCCTGGGCTTAAGATCTTTTAGATCCACTCCCAGGAAAAGAAGATCCGGCAAAGTCTTAGCCAGGAGGAAGGTGGTAGCAGACAGGCAGCTGGGGTTGTGAGAACACAGGGATGTGCCAATGAAGTTGGGAGGAAGACCGACCCTCCATATAGGCTACTCCAGGATGCATGCAGCTGTAGGGGGTGCAGGGCCGTCACTGGCAGTAATGAGGGCCTGACCCTGAGGAGGGGGGACCCTCAGATATAACAGGAAACTAGACGTGGAGGGGCTCCCAGCCTACACGTGGCGGCGGCGGCGGTAGTCAGGAGGGAAGCTCGGTGCCTTCGGTTTAAATCTTTAATGCACTGGCTGGCTGGGCAGTGGCGGCGGGTGTGCGGCGGGGGAGGGCGAGACCCCAGCCCTGGGGGACGGGGCCCA